AATAATAGGATGATCAAATTAGGGTTTATACATAACTTAGGTGCATTAAAACAATTTCTTTTGGGTTTTGTAGATTGAATTAGGACTTGGGGCATATAGGGTATTAAGGGTAGGTATAGTAGGTCCCCTAGAAATAATATTAGAATTTCCCCTACTATATTAGTATTTTTAGTGTATTTTGCAATTGTATGCTTGTTTGGTGTGCCCTTTTGGGGTTTATTTTGTTTGTGTGGGCCTTTTGGGCTTTGTTTGGGGTGTGGGCTTGGTTTGAAGAGCATGATGATGGAGCATATTGAAGACAAAGTTGAAGCTAAAGATCAAAGCTTGATGAAGATGCTTGGCTTGCTTGAAGCTGTTTGAAGACCTAGGACATAGGAGCTAGAGAGAGCCTGAGAATAGAAAATTCCTTCACAAATATGGATAGCTTCCTTCGCTTCCATTCTTCCCTATGATATAAAGTCCCTCTATGGCATTCACCTCTCTCCTTAGGAGGGATCAGTAGCCATACCTTAGAGGTAGAACTTTGAGGGAAACAGTCTCCTATAATGTCAACTGTTCATAGGCTTCCTTGGGTCGTCAATGAACGGTTTGACATTCAATTTCTTCTGATAACATCAATTCTCTGTTGGAGAGCTTGCTTTGAAGGATCCCTTGGAGATTGAAGATGAAGTTCATTGCCTTGAAGACTGTTAGAAGAAGGAGCTGGTGCTGTCAGAGCTGTGCAACTGCTTGAAGTAGGACTTACTGCTGCTTAGCTGTTGGATGCTGTCTACTGTTAGAGTTTCTTGTTGCTATTTTTCTTGAAGATGGATGCTTGTTTGAAGCTTGTAGATGGATGAAGACCTTGCTTGAGGGTGTTGGTGACTTGTTGCTGTTTCTATCAGATTTTGCTGCTTAGAGTTGTTGGTGCTGTTTAGAGCTGTTGATGTATTGTTTGATTTTCCTGACTGTTTTGTTTGATAATTACCCTGTTAGGTTTAAAGTGAATTTTGTTCACTTTTGCCTGTTGTTTTCTAGGTTCGAGGTTGAGTGGGACTCCCTTGCCTCGCTTGTACTGCTGCATCTCATGCATTTTACTGCTTTACTGTATATATGTTGTTGCTTTTCCGTTTATTCCCTTAGGATCTCTGTTTCTCTCTGCGCAAGAGAGAAATATGACAGACATTAGGTTCTCATCCATGCATGACAACATTAGGGTAGATTTTGATTCCCTTTTCAACCATAGGCTTTTTAGAGCTCCTTTCTCATCTCATCTCAGAATAATTCAAAAACACAGTAATAAGGTTAATCGATGTCGTACGTTACGAGCCTTAAGCTATTTGAGAAAAGGTTGCTGGAGGGTCACTCTTCAGTAATCTGATTGCTTAGTGTGTTACCCTTAGGGTGACATACGACGTAGTCACTCTCAAATCATAGTCTCTAGTGCGTCAGAGATTGCAAACACACTAAAAAATACTTCTTGCGTAAAAGACTGTAAACCAATCAAAAGTGTCATTTTTGTCCGCTTGGACCCGTAAGTAGGAGAAAACCTTTTTCAGAAGGATAAAAACAATCAAGACAGACTTATGTCGTACGTGGCCCGAACTACGTTTGCTCTGATCTTTCATGCTGTATGAAAGTACGTAGGCATAGGATGCGATATCCTAGCGAGCAACCTTCCCCTCCTTTCCCGTAGGTAGGCGAACTACGTTGACTCTGATTTCTCGTTCCATACGGGAATACGTAGGCATAAAGTGCGATACTTTGCCGAGTCATTTTCTTTTCTTTTAACCTCAGACCTGTAGAATAGATAGAATAACAATCCGTACTAGAAAACAAGCGTGGATCCCGTCGAGTACGACGGACGTGAGGGGTGCTAATACCTTCCCCTTGCGTAACCGACTCCCGAATCCAGGATTTGGTTGCGATGACCATTCCTTTCCCGTCTTTGCGGTAGGTTTACTTCGAGCGTTTCCTTTCCCTCCTTTGGGATAAATAACGCACGGTGGCGACTCTTCTATTCAGCCGGCGCCGATTTTCGCAGTAGCGACAGACGACTTAGACGCATATTAGGGTTTGGATTGAGAGAGATTTAGATTCGATCACACAAGGGCGAGAAACGAAGTTAGATGGGTTGTATATTTATGAGGAATGACGACTATTCGATAAACGAGACGTCGGCCTCGTAACCAATTAGTCGGGATATCGTTGGAATGCTAGATCCCAACAACATATTTTTCATTCCATTAATTATGAAATATGTTTGTTGGATAGTGAATGTACTTGTCCAAATAATTAGTAGAAGTGTTTTAGAAATTAAAGTTCGAATGACACGCTCACCAAGGCGTACGCCTTAATTGTTGCCACTCAAGAACTCAAGGAGTGCAAGACTCCAAGAACTCAATTCTTTTGCAATTTAGCTAGAAAAATGGTTTGAATAGGTTAGCGTATTCGGATTAGGCGCGCTGGGTATTCTAGAAATGTAAGATCGGAAGGATCACATCCCAAAGTGTGCACCTTGAGAGCAATCCTTCGAGAACCCAAGAAGTGATAGACCTCAAGAGCTCGATATCTACATTGTTTAATCGAAAAGTCTGTTTTGAGGAAACAATACTCGAGGTAAGTCGAGATTTGAATTTGAGTTTCAAACGTGTGCACTAGCAAAGTGGGCTAGTCTTCTAAGTGACCAACTAGAAATAATTGATCAAATAGGTGTCACTGTAGGGAAGCCCAGGATTAAGCTTTAAATGTTGTGTATGGTGATCAAACATTGACGACGAGGCTTTGAAAGCATTCGACTTACAAGGATAGAAAATGGCTCGATGAATCGAGAATTTATTTTGAAAATATTTTTGAGAAAAAATTAATATCTTAGAAAAAGATTTTAACTTAATTAATAAAGTATAATTTTCTAAAGGTTTAATATTTTAGTTTGAGAAAAGATCTGAATTGATTAAAAGCTTTAGATATGAAAGACGGAGCGAACACGACCCAAAGCGTACACTTCGAGAGCATTCGCTCAAAAGTCCAAGGAGTGCTAGACCCCAAGAACCCAACACTTTCAACGATTTAAATGGGACAAATTCTTAGAAAATTGATTATAACCCTAATTTATAAAGATAGCATTTTTTTAAAGGTTGATTATTTCATACGTTCAATTAAGGTTAGTCAATAAAACCTTATTGAATTAGCTTAAAAAAACTTTTTAAAGTAATTATCTAAGGATTGGAATAAAACTAATTATATTCATAAACTACTAAAACAAGGTCAATTAAATGAAATCCTAAACAGACTGGGGGTGTATAGAAAAATATTCTTAAAAGAATGCAAGAGGGCCAAGAATGGCCCGTGATAGCCACACTCCTAACCACTCGGATTGGGCCCCAAAGCTCCCAACACACATGATTCTCAGGAAGCCCTAATAGAAAGGGGAAACATGGGGATAAAACCTCTTCCCCTACGCGGACACGTGTACCGCATCTATCTAATATCAATATCATGAAGGTTCTAGTAGTAGTGATATCATAAGAAACATATGAAAGGACAAAAGCAAGTTTCCTCGAGCCTTTCCCCAAGGCAGGTGGCGGTCCAGGCGAATTCCAAAGCATGTTGACATTTATTGAGAAAACAATTCAATCAATACTCATCTTTATTACAAAAGGAAGGAAAGTTACGGTCAAGAATGCTAAATCCCTAATAATAGTAAAGGATCAGTCTAGTATTAAATGGAAAAGCCAATTCATTAATATTCTTCTAACCCACCCTCTCTAATTCCCTACGCTCCAATCCATCTCTCTCTGAACTTCTCTTCTTAAATCAAACAAAATCTAACCCTAAAGTAAAAAAAAGGAAGAACCCAGAGTGATAAATGTGATTGATGTTCGGTTTAATAAAAACTCCTTTAGGAAGCCATGAGGTTAACAAAAAGGTGAAGAAAGTACCTGGTTGGAGCAATTCCGGCAACGCTGAATTGAGCTTGCGGTAAGTACTCTCTCAATCTTCTACTCCACTTCTCTTCTTTCTATTACCCTTCTTTTTTCTATCAGCTACACATCTGATTCTTTCAGCTACACTTCTGATCTCTAAGTACTATGAATGGGCTAGCTCTGAGTAATTTGAAGTTTCAGGGTAAAAGCTTCAAATACTCAATGGTGAGAGCTTTGGGTATGGGTTTGAGTGCAGATTTTGGCAGAGTTTCGTTAGGGTTTTTTTTCCTCCCTTTGCAAAGGATTGGGATTGTATTTATAGGGGAATTTAGGGTTTATCGTGGTACGTGTGAAATCAAAGTTTTGTTGATGAAAATTGTTTGACTCGTGTGAGTTTTTGCGTAGAATGATGAGGTGTATTCTCGTGGTATAAATTCGTTAGGGGTTAGTACCATGAATCCTGATTCTATGGGATTTGAATGATAGTGACCTCTTCTTGATTTGTCTGTAGTGTTTCCAAAATATCTGGTTTTCTTACTGAATTTTACTGTCTGAATGTGACTTTTTACTACTTAGATTTGTGCTGATGTGGTAATCCTTCCTTTGACTCAAAACAATCATTGACCATTTTTTAATTCCGGTTTTTACGTCTTTTATTGCTGCAACATGTTTTGTAATATGTGTACCCTTTTTACCATGTTGATTATGTAGTCCTTCTTTTGATTCAACAAATCACCTCCTGTTAACTTTTACTTGTGAATATCTAAGGTGATTAATCTTGTATTTCCTTCATGGACTGTTATGCATTTTCTTCATGGACTGTTCCATTCATCCTGACCCCTGCTTTTATCATCTCCCTTGTAGTATGGTAATCTGGTGTGAGTCTCATTACCGAGGTTGTCACGACGGATTTGCATCATTGCGAGCATTAACCTTGTTAGCACCTTGATGACATAACTTGGATATAAAGTGCTGGTGGGAATGGACAAAACTGCTTCTAACTCTTGGCTTTGGAAACATCTTGGTAACATCTAATTACTTAGTTATTCTTTAAATGTTTATTTGATTTCCTTCTCTAGAAATGACCTGACCATTCTAGTTCTGATCCATCATTACCTCATGTTTTTGTGCAAGTTGTAAATCTCTTTCTTCAACCATCCAAGGATGCAGGCCAATTGAAAGTGTTATACATATTTGGTGTTCTGGCTTCACACAAACATTGCTCAAGTTAGGAGCCTTGAACTGCTCTGCTGCCTGAGTTTGTAGCTGTGAACTCAAGTCTTCGATCTTAGCTTCACCAAAAATAATGTAAGTGTCGGGATTCGGGCTCTTGAAAACATCTGGCTTTGAAATGACGAGCAAGATATTCTTGCTCTTCTTGACTGTCACACGACTGACACCAGTAACAGGTTTCATCTCAAGTTTAGGCATTGCCTTGCGGCTCTTCTTTTCATTTCTGGTCTGTTTGGACCTACCAAATGCATCACCTTCTAGTCCTTCCACATCATCGTCTTCCTCAACTACAGGCTCATCATGATGGATCTTTTGTTGTTCGAGATGCGCAGCAAGAAGCTCTTCTTGAGTTTGAGCAGTCATAGTGATTTTACGAGAGGTTGATTTTGGGGCGGTAGTAGATCCAACACAGCACAAGGTGCCATTTCTGCAGCTGCCACACTTGTAACATGTGTGATAATGTGGATTTTGGAGTGATGTAATCACCTTATGAAACATTTGGTAAGTCATGACTTTCACGAATTTTATCTCAAGTTTTGAATGTGAGGTTATTTGTGAACTTCATCACCACTTCATGTATGAATAATACACTATTGTTTAGAACTCAGAACTTATATAAAGCGTGTGAAAATGAGTTCTCTTGAGTGTATTTTAAGTCTGTATTTCTTCATGTCTTGTATCAATGAAACTTGGCTAATTCCCTATGGAAAATTCTTCATGCTTTCATTATTTTTGACTGGAAAGGACTTGTATATGTCTTGACATGTGACTACTTTATTCTTTTTCTTCTATTTGCAGGGTGCAAGGACGGTGACAGACGTTTTTGGAAGGAAGCACAGTGTGGGCATGACATATGAAGTCTTGGCTCATGTTTAGTTGACTGGTGTGATTTAATAAAGTCTTGAACTCTTTTGGTAGCACAAGTATCAAAGTGTCTTCATAATGTAAACTTTGAGTAGATTATACACTTTTATCATTTAGGTTTCTTTTGTACTATAGGGCTTGTGTGATGTGTACTCTGTTGGTGCAAAGGTAGAATAAATGATGAAAAGAGAAATATTCTATTAAGATAATGACGGCTACACACTACCATACAAATTGCAATGATTGCTACCCTATTTATAAGCTAAAACTAGGGTTACTAGAATAAGATAAAAATACTAAAATACCCTCTAACAAACTTAGGGGATAAGAAAATAGTACAACTAATAAATATGAATTACTTCTAATATCATCCCTTAATTCATATTCCATCAAAACTTGTAACACCAATTCCATCCCTTAGTCTGAGAAATTGATCAGTCTTGATAGCTTTCGTCAGAACATCTACCAGCTGTTTCTGAGTGCTGCAGTGTACAACTTCTAACACTCCAGTCTGAACTTGATGTCTCAGAAAATGATACTTGGTCTCAATATGCTTACTTCTCTCATGCAACACTGGGTTTCTGGCAAGATTGATTGCAGACTTGTTGTCAATCATCAACTTCAGAGGTTTGTTTATTTTAATCTTCAGATCCTGCAACAGATTCAAAATCCACACAGCTTGGCATGCAGTAACAGCACCTGCAATGTATTCAGCTTCACAGGTTGATAACGCCACAACAGGTTACTTCTTGGAACACCAAGAAATGGGACCTCCCAAAAATTTGAACAAGTATCCAGAGGTACTTCTTCTGTCAACTCTGTCTCCACACCAATCAGAATCTGAATAACTCAGAAATTCTGACTCATCCTTTCTTCCAGAAGGAAACAACACTCCATACTTCAGAGTTCCCTTGATATACCTCAAAATCCTGACAACAGCCTGGTAATGGGACCACTTAGGTTTACTCATGAACCTACTAACCATCCCAACAGAATAGCAAATATCAGGTCTGGTATTGCACAGATACCTCAGAGAACCAACCAACTGTTTGAAGGTTGTAACGTCCACATCCTTTCCATCAGAGTCAGAATCCAGTTTCTGATTTGTATCTGAAGGTGTGACAGCAATCTTACAATTCTTCAGTTCAAATCTCTTCAGAAGTTCTAATTCATACTTGAGCTGATGCAAAATGATACCTTTCTCAGAATATCTGAACTCCATCCCTAGAAAGTATGTCATTTTGCCTAGATCAGTCATTTCAAATTCATTCATCCGAACTTTCTTGAACTTGGCTATCTCATGTTCAGAACTTCCAGTCAATAGTATATCATCAACATATAAACATACCAGAGTCATATTGCCTTCAGAAGTATGCTGAACATATACACTGTACTCCATCTCACATTTCTGAAAGCCTTGCTTCTTGAAAAATGAATCAATCTTCTGATTCCAAGCTCTGGGCGCTTGTTTCAGTCCATATAGAGCTTTGTATAATCTGCACACCATCCCTTCCCGATTCTTTTTCACAAATCCAGGAGGTTGTGACACGTAAGCTTCTTCTTCTAACGGACCGTTCAAAAATGCAGATTTTACATCTAAATGCATCAGAGGCCAATTCCTGTTAGCAGCTATTGCAATCACCATTCTGATTGTTTCATGTCTTGCTACAGGTGCAAACACTTCAGAATAATCCAGCCCAGGTTTCTGTAGAAATCCTCTGGCTACCAACCTTGCTTTATGTTTGCCAATTGAACCATCTAGCTTTAACTTCTGCTTGAAAACCCATCTGACGCTGATGGCTTTCTTGTCTTTTGGAAGTTCTGTCAGCTTCCAAGTCTTATTTCTCTCTATAGCATCAAGTTCTTCTTTCATGGCCTTCAGCCAGAGCTTCTCCTTAAGAGCCTCTTCTATACTTATGGGTTCAGAGTCTACTATCATGGCACACTGAATAACTTCTCCTTCAGAGTCTACTTCAGTGTCTTGCAGCATGTCAAATTCTGCATATCTTCTGGGAGTGTTTCTGATTCTTTGTGGTCTCTGAACTTGTTCAGAGTCTTGAGCTTCAAAGTTTCTAGCTTCAGATGATTGACTTCCTCCAGAGCTTTGACCATCTTCAGAGTCTGGCATATTTCCAGAGTCTGAATTGCCACCAAAATCTGGATTGTCATCAGAGTCTGGATCATCAGAGTCTGGATCATCAGAGTCTGGATCATCAGAGTCACCTTCATCTTCTGAGTCTTCTCCAGAGTCTGAATCACTATCAGAGTCAACGTCAGAATTTACTCCAACTTCAGAAATTCTTAACTCTGACCTTTCTTCAGAAGTTCTAACATCAGAATCAGATTGAGACTTATCCCAATTCCAAACTTCTGATTCCTTCACAATCACATCTCTGATGAATTCAATTTTATTGGTTTCTGGACAATAGAGCTTATATGCACCTGTACTGTGGTACCCTATCAGAATCATCACTTTGCTTCTATCATCCAGCTTCTGTCTTCTGGCTTCTGGAACATGTTTATAGCAAACAGAACCAAACACCTTCAGATGACTAACACTTTGCTTATCTCCAGTCCACTTATGTATTGGGACTATTTCCTTCAACTTCTTCGTAGGACATTTGTTGAGTACATACATTGCAGTGGCAACAGATTCTCCCCAGAGCTTCTGAGGAAGCTTCTTCTCCTTTAGAATGCTTCTCACCATATCAAGCAAAGTGCGGTTTCTTCTTTCAGCAAGACCATTGTGTTGAGGGGTATAAGGAGAAGTAACCTCATGCTCAATTCCATTCTCCTCACAGAACTTCTAGAACTCTTTGGAGTTATACTCACCTCCACCATCAGTTCTAAGAATCTTCAACTTCTGACCACTCTGATTCTCAGCCTTCATTCTGAACTTCTTGAATTCATCAAACACCTCGTGTTTAAACTTACTCATGTCATTCTTGTGAATTCATCAACAAACAACACAAAGTATTTATTCCCTCCAATTGATGCTACTGGAAATGGACCACACACATCAGAATGTACAACTCCCAAGGCATGTTTTGCTCTTGGAGCAGCTTCTGACACAAATGGAAACCGTGGTTGTTTTCGTTCCATGCAAACTTTGCATGACTTTTCAGGCTTCTTAATTGTAGGAATTCCATGTACCAACTTCTTTGAATTCAGATGTTTTAAGCTTCTGAAATTCAAATGACCAAATCTTCTGTGCCACAGCTCACTCTCCTTCTCAGCACTTGTTGCACTAAGACATTCTGAGTCTGCATTTCTGACATTTACCTTGAATGTTCTATTCCTTCCCTGTTCTGACTCCATAATCAACTTCTGATTGCAGTCATACAACTTCAGAAGATTGTCCTTCATGGTAACTGAAAAACCTTTCTCAATTAATTGTCCCACACTCATCAAATTGCTTCTGATGCCAGGTACATACCACACGTTCTGAATCAATGCTGTTTTCCCATTGTTCAGAATCACTCTGACATTTCCCATACCTTCTGCATTAAGATATTTGTCATCAGCACATCTGATCTTTGTTCTCTTTTCAGAGTCAAAGTCAACCAGCCATTTCTTGTTTCCAGTAAGATGATTTGAACAGCCAGTGTCCATATACTACCAGTCTATCAAATCCATATTATCAGATTCAGAGGCCATCAATAGCACAGATTCGTCATCAGAACTTCTGGCTATATTTGCTTCTTCTGATTTTCTCTCCTTGTTTGACCAACAATCTCTAGCAAAGTGACCAAACTTCTTACAACAGTAACATTGGATCTTCTTCTTGTCATACTTCTCTTTTCCCTTCTGAGCATTCTTTTGTCTATCAGAGGTTGAGCTTTCTGACTTCTGACCACCATCAGATCTTCTCCTGGCTTCTGACTGTTTTTGATACCTCCTATCAGAAGTTGCTTTCAGAGCCTGCTCCTCTACTTCCTTTTCAGAAGTTCTCTCAGTCAAACGCAACTCTTGCGCTTCTAGACTGCTCTGTAGCTCTTCAATTCTCATGGTGCTTAGATCTTTGGAATGTTCTATTGCTACCACAATGTAATTAAATTGAGGGGTAAGGGATCTCAATACTTTCTCCATGATTGCTTCTTCAGAAAGAGTTTCTCCATACGCCTTCATCTCATTAGTGATCAGAATCATTCTGGAGATGTATTCAGAGACTTTCTCATTATTCTTCATGTTGAGATTCTCATATTGCTTTCTTAAGGACTGAAGCTTCACCTTCTTCACTAATGCGTCGCCACTATAACATCTCACCAGTGTGTCCCACGCATCCTTTGTTGTCGTTGAATCTGTAATCTTCTCAAACACATTTACATCCACACATTGATGAATGAAGAACAATGCTTTCTGATCCTTCTTCCTTACTTCCTTCTGCGTGTTTTTCTGTTCATCTGTCGCATTTGTTGCTACCGGAACATAACCATCAGTGACAAGATCTAGAACATCTTGAGCATCAAACAGTACACGCATTTGAATCATCCAACGAT